GTTCCAGATTCTGATACAAGGAGACATAGAAGATTTCCCCAAGAGAAGTTCTGAGTGACCCCTTACAGAAGTGGGAAGTGGTGTGGAAAGAAGCCCTGAGGAGGATGACAATGATGTATTGGAAGAGGGAGGAGTAATACCAGCAAGGGCCTTGGCAGAGAAGCCAAGGAGAGGGGAGAGGGAGAGGAAGAGGGAAAGAGACATGGGGCGGGACAGGGAGAGAGAGGGGGAGAGAGAGAGAATACCTGTCCCAGAAGGTGGAAGCTGGATTGGAGAGGGCACAAGAGTTGGTTTTTTGAAAGTGTGGCAACAGATATGGAATTCCCCTGTGCTGTCCTCCAGCTGATGTTTACAAAGGTTGTATTACTTATTAACCTAGGAACTTGAATTGTTCCAGCAGCGAAAGTGAATGATTTTATAGACTCATAAACCTATGGATTCCTACCACTGACAGCCTAATGGCATTATTGGCAGTTTGCTGCCCTGTGCAAATGGGGACTTTGCTGCCTTCTGGGGTGGAAGACAGTGGGGGAGGGGAGCGGCAGGTTCTCTCTCTGATTTGAGCTGTACCTCAAGAAAATATGATCACTGGTTGAGATCTGAGAGAAGCTGGTTCACTTTCAGTGTTTAGGACTCATTATCCTTAAACAGACAGACCAAGGCTCCCAGCTGGTGCTTTGTGCCAGTGCGAAGCCCAGGGACTGAAAAAGCTGGAAGAAGCTCAGGGTCCTGTTGGCCCAAGGTCTTTACATTGCAGAGGAGGAATGTGGGAGACAGAAACATAATACAAACTGATAATCAGAGTGTAGATGTGAGGTCCTATATTTGGTTCCAAAAACTGAATTGTAGAAGTATAGGATTGGAAATTCTGAGGTTAGCAGCAATTTCTGTTCAAAAGTTTTGGGGGGTTAGTTGATAAAGCTTTGTATGAGTGAACTTTAAGATATGGTTGTTATGACAAATGAACATGCTGTGATTAAAGACTACATTCAGTACCTTTATAAATTATAAAATTAATATATGTTCATAGTAAGGAATTTGAAAAATATTAAAAAGTATAAAAAGTCAGAAATAATCCATTAACAACACCTCTATGACCTAGAGCCAATAATTACTAATATTGTGTGTGTACATAAACATCAAAAAAATTATATCAAGCAATGGTATTGCATCTACAGTTCAGTAATACTTTTAAAAATTAAATTTACCATTTTGATATAACTATAGATTAAAATTCAGTTGTAAGAAATGATATAGAGAGATCCCATGTACGCTTTATTCAATTTATCCCAATGCATCTTGCAAAAATCGAGCACAGTATCAAAACCAGGATATTGACATTAGCTATCTGCCGATCTTATTCAAACTTCCCTGTTTTACATATACGCATGTTTAGTTAACAGAATTTTATCACCTGGGTAGGTTCGTGCATCCATAATCACAGTAGAGATGCAGAACAATCCCATCACTGCAAGGATCTCTTGTGATGCCCTTTTAAAAATCACACCCCCTTCTTTCCCCACTTCCCCCCAACCCGCATCTCTCATCCATGGCAATCACTCGTCTGTTCTCCATGTCTAAATTCTGTCTTTTCAAAAAAGTGATATAAATGGAATCATGCTGTTGTAGGATATCTGGGTTGTTTCCAGTTTTTGGCTATTATGAATACACATAGTACCTTGTGTACAGGTTTTTATGCAAAGATCTAAGTCTTCATTTCTCTGGGAAAAATGCCCAAGAGTGTAATAGTCATAGTGTGACTATTTCTCCAAGTCATTAAATATTTTTATAAAACAAAAATTTTAACTACATAATATTGCTTGGGATGGATGTAGCATAAAGACTTCCTTCTCTGTAGAAGTCAGTAACAGACTCCTACGTGGGGAATGGTGTGAAGAATGGGCCAGCTGGAACTGGTTCTTGCAGTGCCAAGGGGTGACCAGGCTCTGAAAGACTGATTAATGCTAATTATACTGCACAGAGGCCTGAGGGAGACACCGTGATACCACTTTGTAAAATCTTTGAATGAGAAATATAATTGTCACATGGAGTGTTCATGGTAGCACTGGCATAAAAGACACCCACTTCAGCCTACACTGGAAGCATTTGTGTTTCAGTCGTCTGCCTTCCCCAACCAGCTCGAGCTAGTCCTGAGGGCAGGGACCCTGGTCTTGCTTATTATTATGTCCCTGATACCAAACACAGTAGCTGGCACCCACTAGGTGCTTATTAAATATTTATTCCGCCTGTCCCCATGCTCCTTTTCCTCCCTTCTTTCTCAGCTCTGAGGTTCAAAGGCAAAGATTATTAGATCAGAAGAATAGTTTGTAGTTCACCTTGTGGATCAATGCATAATTTTCTATGTATAATGGAATTGCCGTAACTCCGTAACTCCAATAGCATCTTCTTAAATAAATCCCAGGCCACCTTCTAATTTCCTAGCGGACACCAGAGCATAAGCAGTCATGCTTTAATCAGATCAACTAATTGGAGCTAATGAATGAGCTGGAGAATCTAGTAGCCTCTTTATTTACATAAAGACAACTCAGTTAAGTGTCTTCAGAAATATTTAAAGAGTGAGTAAAGTGATATGAAGAAGAGGAATGCTTTGGACAGGAACTGTTCAGAAGCCCACAGAGTCTACACACAGAAGTGATACAAGAGTTCGCCCTCTCATAGGGCTGTCCTGCTTGAAGGTGCTGGACCCTCACAGAAATAGCCCTCAACAAGTATTGATTGAGCATCTACTATAAGCCAGTTACTGTTTTAGGCTCTGGGGATATAGCAGCAAACAATACAGACAAAAAACTCTGCTTTCATGCAGCATAGATCTCAGTTGGGGGGGCCTGAAACAGTACATTAAATATATGTTTCATCAGACGGTCATAAGAGCTATTTAGAGAGATACAAGAGGGCAAGGGGGATAGGAATACTGTGGGTGAGGGTAATGCTATTTTGTACAAGATAGTGAGGGAGGGCCTCTTTGAAAAGGTGATTTCTGTGAATGTTTGTGTCCCCCCCAGATTCATATGTTGAAATCTAATCCCTGATGTCATGGTGTTGGAAGGTGGGGCTTTTGGGAAATGATTAGATCACGAGGGCTCTGGGATTAGTGTCCTTATGAAAGAGGCCCCAGAGAGCTGCCAAGCCCCTTCCACCATGTGAGGACACAGGTAGAAGGCACCATCCATAAACCAGACAGCACGTCCTCCCCAGACACTGAATCTGCAGCACCTTGACCTTGGACTTTCCAGCCTCCAGAACTGTGAGAAATAAGTTTCTGTTGTTTATAAGCTACCCAGTTCATGGTACTTTGTTACAGCACCATTAAAAACTAAGACAGTGACACGTGGGTATCTGAGAGAAGACATGCCAGGTAGAGCAAAGAGCTTGTGCTAAGGCTCTGAGGAGCTGCCTTTTGTTGATCAGAAAACAAATATTAGTTGCTTTCACAGGCTGTGGTCTGAGAAGTGCCCAGGCATGTGCAGATAGGGGGGTGCAGGCTGTGGCTGCAGACTTCAGGTGCCCTTAGGGAAATCTATTCACAACTTTCCTATAGGCGGGGGTTATGTTGGTTGCTACTTGTCCAAATTTCCCAAGTTCACTTTTGATGATCCAACATCTCAAATTAGGAATTGGTCTGGTTCTTCCAGTAGTCACAGAGGTGACTCTCCTTTCCTGCCCTTCAGGGCAAGACTGGTTGCCTGGGGGATACTTGCACCTGTGAAGACAAGTAAAGCAGGCAAAGAGGGCAGAACAAGTGACCAGCCTGTCTTGCTGGGGTTTGTTCTTTCTTATCTTCCCAGGTTTCTCTAGTGCAGATCACAGCCCCTTTGGAGCTGAATTTCCTTATAGCAGGATTGGAGGGACTGGGCAGAGTGGTAGTAATGATGAGCTGTACTTTGACAAACACAAAAAGTCATACCATTAGACGGAAAGAGAAAGAAACATTTACTGCATTTTACTAACGGGCTATTCACTGTGCTAAGCATTTACATACATTATCCTATTAAATCTTCATTTTACTGCTCTGCAAGGTAGGTGTTACTGTCACCATTTTACTGATGAAGGCCCAAAGATACTGGCTGTTTTCCTGATTACAAATATATGTACACATTGTAAAAACTTCAAACAAACAAAAAATTGTAGGGCTGGCCGGTTAGCTCAGTTGGTTAAAGCGCAGTGTCATAACACCAAAGTCAAGGGTTCGGATCCCCTTACACGCCAGTCGCCAAAAAAGAAAAATTGTGAGAAGTAGGAAGTGAAAGCCCCTCACGGTCTCACCTCTCAGAGAAAACAACCATGAACAGTGGGTGTATAATTTTCCTGAGATTTTAAAATGTGCGCACATACGCATGCTCTTCTTGCCCAGGACACTGGGACCGTAGTGCACATGCTGTTCTGCGACCCGTCTTTTTCCTCTTCCAGTGCATCTTGGTAGTGTTGCCGTGTAGTTAGTCTTACTAATGAAAGCAGGGCTCCTTGGGGAGTTAGAGCGCTCTGAAGACATACCTGGTTGTGTGACTTCACACAGGTCTTTTAGGTCTCCAGTTTATCCCCTTTTGTAAAAGGAGGGCAGGGGACAGAGAATTCCGCGATGTAATGCCGATAAGCAGGGCACATCACTCCCTGCCCGCCTCCTGACTATCTAGGATGTTCTCTAACGTCCAGTCCTACTTGATTTGGGCGGCATCCACCACTTGGCAATAACTCAGATGACAAAGCCGCCGCCAACGTTGCCAGGAAACTCAGGAGCGAGAACCTCTTCCAGCCGCCCCTCTGGGAGGGTGACGCAGGCGGCTGGGCGGGGCCAGGGCGGGGCCTGGGGGCGGGACGCCGGCCGGGGG